ACCCGCGCTGAGGGCTTCGCCAGCCACAGCCCTCGGGGCAGGCCTGGCTTCCGCAGGCCCAGCCTCTTGAAGTCGCTGGACAGGGGGTCCTGGTCCTCGCTCACAGGGTCATAGGCTGGTTCTGTGAGGAAAGGGAGACCCCGACAGGAAGGCAGTCAGGCCGGGTCAGGGGCACAGGAGAGGTGGCACGTGGGAAAGAAAGCCGAGTGTCCCCCAGCAACCCTCCACTCCCAATTCCCCCCGAGGTCTGAGGTCAGCCATTGGCTGCCAGGTTCTCAGTGCACCTCCGACCCCTCGATCAGGAGGGCGGAACCTGCTCTGCCCAGCAGGCAGCCCTGTGTGGGCCCACGAGCCCCGCCTCCCTCCACCGGAGCTGGAGCAAGCAACACTGGCTCCTGCCCATCGCTCCCTCCATCAGCACAAGACCCTGGCAGCTCTGCTCCCGGGCCCCAGCGCGTTAGTAAGCCCTCACCCCCGCCCCCACCACGGCACACCATTAGTGCAGGCACGGAGCCGCCTCCTGCCATCAGGGCCATAGGAACTATCCTTGGAGAGGACAGCGCTCCTGACCAACCGCCACGAAGCCCAGACAGTGCCCGCAGGTCTGAGAGGCAGTGAGGCCGAGGCGGAAGCCAGCGCCACACTCGTGCTCCAAAGCCCAGACTCTGGGGGGCAGGCCGGAGGAGGCAGGCATGCTAGGCCAGGTCAGCCGCGGAAGCTCACAGCACACACCAGCCTCCCCGCCCACCCAGCTGCCCGGGCTCTGTACCTTCCAGGAGAGGAGTGAGAGAGAGGGGGCGGGGGCGGGGGCTGAGGCATCGGGAGCAGCCCCACTTACTCTGAGTGAAGAAGGCAGGCTGAGGTGGGCGAGGTGGAGGCTCCCCTGCAAGAAAGGCCATGCGGACAGGGGGAGAGGGACAGAACAGGACAGAGGACGAGGGAGGAAGACGGCCGGACGAGAGGGCAGAGTGTGGAGAGAGAGGAAGGGAGAGAAGTGAATGGGGGCAAGTGAATGTACAAGCCCCCAGCACACGGGAGGCCGCAGGCAGCAGGATGAGGAACACGGCAGTCTGGTATGACAGGCAGAGGACCGGGAGACGGAAGAGGCTCCAGGCAGAGCCGGAGCATGGCGGGGTTTTGGCTTGGGACAGGAGAGCAGGATTAGGGGGAAGTGAGGAAAGCCAGGATCTGAGCTTGGCCGTGGAAGGAGGGAGGAGGGACGCCGGGCGGACGGGGCTGCTGCAGACCCAGCCTGAGGAGGCCCACCTCGGCGGAAACAGCTGCCTGTCTTCCACCCCACGCCCAGCCAGAGCCAGGGACACAGCTGTCCCGCCTGCTGCCCTGACCCCACTGTCCCCAGAGCCAGAGGAGCAGGCTCAGGGTGGCCTGTGAACACAGTGCTCCTTCCTGAGCAGCCAATGAATCAGGGACACCAAGGAGCAGAAGGGATCTTACTTTTCACCCCTCCTAGATGCTGGGGGGGCCGGGAGGTGCTCAGCTCCACGCTCAGCAGGTCGGGGGGGTCCATGGGGTTTCCCAGATACAGTCTGTGGGGGAGACAGCCAGGTCAAGAGAGCAGGGGAAGCATGTGGAGGGACGGCAGAATCTTATCGGAACCCCTTCCTCCTGGAGGAAACCGGGTGTAGTCTTAGGTCTGGAGCGCAGGCCTCCCGCCTCCCAGTCCACAGATCCTGACCACTCATCTCAGCTGGAACCAGAGGAGACACACCAGGGTGTCCTGGAGAGAGGACAGAGAAAGGACATCTGACCCCAGGATGGAAAGCCTAGGACTTCAGGGGCTCCAGCTGCACCCTACGAGGGCAGAGGTGGTCCTCAACAATCCCCAGGCCCCTAGCCCCCACCAGGCAGCCGCAGGAGGGCACACACTTCTGTTCTGCAGGCCACGATGGGGGGCCTGAGAACAAGGCATCCAGCTATGGTGCCCGGCCAGGGTGGCCAGGAGGTGCGGGAGAGGCTGGGCCACCTGTCCTGCTGCGGATCCACCCTCCATCCCTGCACCAACTGTCAGTATCTAAGACTTAGTCACTGGGGCTGATTAAAGCCCGGAGGAATGGGGCTGGGCTGGCCACGGCGTGCCAGGAGTGGGGCAGAGGGCACCACCCTCTCCCAGAGGTGTCTGCAACCTTTCACCCCAAGCCTCAGGCCCTTGCTGGGTTTTTTAGGCAAAACGCATGGGCTGAGCCCTGTGAGCCTGGAGTTCTGGTGTGTGGGGTCTGGTGGCCGGAGGCCCCTGCTTTCCATGCCTCTCAGGACAGACCAGAGTATCAGAAGTCAGCAGGAGAAGGGCTGCAGAGGCCAGGGACCTGGAATCCCCCTGTGGCCAGCAGAGAGGCTTGGAGGCCTGGCGGAAGCAGCTTCCGGGGCCTCCCTGGGGTATAGCATCCCGAAGTGGCCGATTCTGTGCGTCCTTCCCAGATGCCCCTCAGTGGCCTTATCCTCTTACACAGGAGGCAGCGCCCCTCCCGGGTATGGAGTGAGCTCTGTACTGTGCGGTGGGGAGGCGGACCTGCCACCTAACGTTCCCTCTGCAGTCCCCAAGGTCCCCAGTCCTGCTGTGGTTCTGGGAAGCAGGCTCACTCCCACGTGCACCTGCACACATCCCCAGGGCCCGAGCCAGTGGGCTCACGTCTCCAGGACTCTGGCACCACCGGCAGGAGAAGGAAAACCACTGCTCGCGTGCAGGGGTCACAGGGGGTCACAGGGGGTCACAGGGGGGTCATGGGAGAAGCTCTGCTCCTCAGCAGCTTCCACCGGGTTCCTCCCAAGTCCATTTTCCTAAGGCCCCGGTCCCAAGAGGGGTTACAGCTGTGGCTCCGGAGACCTTTCCACCAAACAGGAGTCCATCCTCAGAAGCTCCTGACCCTACTTTCATCTGTGATGGGCAGGAAAGCTTCTCTCAGGACCCCTGCCTCTGGGCAGCACGTTCTAATTCAGAGTGCATTTACAGCCCTCCCCTCATCGGGGGGTGGACCCATTTCACAGATGAAGTCAGTCTCGGAGTTAGGAGATCGGCCCCTGAAGCTTGAAAACGGCAGGGAAAGCACGTTCCCCGGGAGAATCCCCACCAGGCTGGGCTTTCTAGGGTTCCACAGCTTCCCGAGAGTAAGGCCAGCGGTGAGGAGGGGAGGGTCGCGGGTCGCGGGCTGAAGCCCGAGCGAAAGGTGAAGAACAGGTTCAGCCTATGCGTGCCGTGCTGAGGGCCCTGGAGTCCCGAGCGGGGCACCCATCCCCGCCCGGTACTCACTCGTCGATCCTGTCTGGGAAGCCCCAGCAGTGGCGAGGGTCACTGTCGCCATGCCCCGTGTGGATGAAGCTGTTCTGCAGGGGCTGGCTGATGTCCTGGGCTGACAGGCCGGCCACGGAGGTCACCACGTTGCGAGGGAAGGGTCCCACACACAGCGTCCGCGTGTTCTGGCCACGCCACCAGTAGTTCTCGGCCCTGCCCGACAGAGATGGCACAGTGAACTCGAGGCATGGCGGGCAGCCCCGGCACTGGGACCCTCCTCACACCCTGGCCACTGTGGCAGAACAAGGATGGGGCTCAGGCCTCAGGACCAGACTGTCTGCCACCGGCCCTCCTCCCCCACAGCCCCCGTGACCCACCATGCCCTGTACGGGCCTGTTTGCACACGGCCTTACCCTCAACTCTCTAGGTGGGTCAGGCAGCTTTCCCTACAGTTTGCAAATAAGGAGGCACGCTGGAGGCTGCCGCAGCAGGCACTTTCCCCACGGTTGGCAAATAAGGAGGCACGCTGCCGCAGCAGGCAACATGACCTGTCTACGGTCACTAGAAAGATCCCGGGACCAAACCCAGCTTCCAGGTCTGCGGGACCAGTGCCCCAACCACAGCTCCTCCTCGCTCCCCAGTCAGTCCCCTGGCAAGGCCGGGCCCCAGTCCTCTTCTGGCCACTGGCTTTCACTCCTCGGCTGGGTTCCAGGAGTTCTGAGAGGTGTGGGGGTGTCGGGACACCGAGGGCCTTGCACTAGGCTGGGGGCCAGGCCTCCAACTACAACCTGCCTCCTGCATGCAGACCCGTGAGAGTCTAGAAGCACTCCGGGCAACTCAAGGCCTTCTCCCCACCACTTCACATGCTTCCGGCAGTTTCTATCACCTCCTGGCAGGCCTGCAGGAGCCTCCCCGTCTCCTCAGGAGGGGCTCTACTTGTGTCTTAAAACAAGAAGTCCAAAAGGGAACTCAGTACTCACACAGTGACCAGACAGTGGGGCTGCCAGTGCCCTCTGACCTCAGCCCCTCTGACCTCAGTCCCCCCCGACCTCAGTCCCCCCCTGACCTCAGTCCCCCCCGACCTCAGTTCCCCTCGACCTCAGTCCCCTCTGACCTCAGTCCCCTCTGACTTCAGTCCCCCTCTGACCTCAGTCCCCTCTGACTTCAGTCCCCTCTGACCTCAGACACGAAACCTCTGCTGCTACAGCCTAAGCCGGGGCAGGGGCTGGGGCCCGGCTGGGGTAGGGAAGGCACGCCAGGAAGCACAGGGCTTCCGCGAGACACTCCTGACACCCGAAGGCTGTGACAGGCTGTGAGGCTCCCGCCTCCGTGCTGGACTTGCTCATAAGTGATGCGCTGGGCAGAGTCTGCGCAGGCAGAGGCGGTGACAGTCCCGTGCTGCTGGGGTGGACACGTGTGGCACCACACTGCACACCCTCCCCACCAACCCCCGCGTCACCTGTCCCAGGGCCAAAGCCTGAGGAAGGGCTCCTCCGAAACACAGTCAGGCCCGGGAGAGAGGATGGAGAAGGCAGCGACACGTGGGCACCCAGACCCACAGCCTTGTGAGGTGACCAGGCCTGGCTGGAACGGCTCAACTCCGGGAACAGCCCATCCCAGAGACCAAAGTCAAACCCAAGAGCACCACAGTCCGCGGGGGGGGGGTAGGAAGTGAGGGGAGGCGGGGGCCCAGGGAAGCTCATGGAGGCTGGGGGTGCATGGAGG